ATAAGTCTGAGCAGTGTGTGAGCCTCGGATATTGAAGCACCTAACGCAATGCATCTTTTCCCCACACAGCGAAGGGTCAAGATTCATTTCAGCATATACAAAGGTAGAACGAAAAACGGTTCACATAACGGATCCATCATACCAGATGAGGCTAAAAATACAGTGCCCAAGTCGTCTGTCTCTTTGGCAAAGAAAAATTATCCCCGCAGCCATCATGCATCCTGTGGTCTGTCTGGCACAGCACAGGATTCACAAAGATATAAGTCATATATAAATAAGGAAATGAAAGGCCAGAAAAGCATTATACAGAAGAACAACGAGCGGAGAGATGGCCAGGCACATCTTTATGGCCAAGTCTCGGGATCCGACATCAGAGACAAAAATTACAAAAACAAAATAAGGAGCAAGAGAAAGATAGAGTGAGCTATAGGAGGTAGAGGTCGCTCATACCTCATTCTGGTAAAGGACCAGCCCACCACCACCGCTGACAACACCGAGAGAAGAAATTTGGTAAAAGGAGGAGTTAAGGTAGGGAGGAAGGAAAGTTAGAGATCACGGTCAAAGTGATCTCAGATTTTTACGTAGCAGTAAAGACCACAGTAGAATAGGGTGGAGGACTATGAGAGGATGAAGTGGCAAGGGCAGATCCAAAAATATCAAAAGGAGGGTCCAAGAAATTTTGGGTGGGGAAACATGGCGAGCAAAGTGCGCCGCCCCATCCCGATTTTTTGTTAGCCCCCCCCCCTCCCCCCACTGCCCCATCCCGATTTTTTTTAAATCTGACCGATGTCTAGGCATTTTGAAGCCATGTGCACTTGATTTTAGTGGATATTCTGAGGTCAATAGTAATTACTTTTTACTATACAAAAATGAAAAATGATTGAGTACAATACTGCATTTACGAAAAAGTATTGGAATTTTCTGATGAAAAGGGGATCCGAACCCCCCCCCCCCTGGATCCGCCCGTGAGTGGAGAACTATGGGAAAGTAGAGGTCAGGGGCTAAGAGGAAGGGGGCGTGAAAGGGAATGGGAAAATGGGGTGGAGAGCCATGGAAGAATAGGAGTGGAGAACTATGGTAGGATGGGAGTGTCCAATGATTTCTGCTTCCTCACATTGCAACATTATTCCACACTAGTTCACAGCACTTATACTGGTGCCCACAATAAAACACACCCAATTCCATAATAATGCTCCATAACAAGCCCCCAAAGGCTTAACAAACACATTCGAGGAGTTTAAAGAATGTTTAACTTGGGAAGGTAGGTTTAGGTCCAATCACTGTCAGTACAACCTGGTTCCGAACTAATAAACACTTAACCAATAACATGGATGCTATAACAAGGTTCCAGTTGTCCAATAAGGATGTAATCTGTTATGAGTGTTATTGAGTATGCTACTGACATTTGATATCGCACCTAATTGGATTAATGCACTTCATAGTTTATGTCGGTGGGTACAGATTACGCCACCACTTTCTAAAACAGTGAATTAAATTATCTGCTGTGTTACCTGCCTTGTGAAAATTACTGTAATGAACTGACTGATATCCTAAACAGACCTTTTGCGCATGACATTTCGCATCAAGACACCACTCAGAGGACTGTGGGTGTGAAGGGGGATGTCGGTGTGTAGGAAGGTAGTGGGTGTTGGCGGTGGTAGATGCAGGGGTTGTGGGTGTGTAGAGAGTTGTGGATGTTGGGGGTTGAAGGTGTGTGGAGAGGTTGTAGATGTGGAAGGTTATGGGTATGTAGGGGGTTGTGGATGTTTAGGGAGGTTGTTTGTGAAGGCGGTTGTGGGTGTGTAGGTGGTTGTGGGTGTGTAGGGGAGTTGTGGATGTGGGGGTTGGTGGGTGTGTAGGGGGCTGTGGATGTTTTGGGGGTTGTGTGTGTGTGAAGGTGGTTGTGAGTGTGTAGGGGTTGTGGGTTTATAGGGAGGATGTGTGTGAAGACACTAGATAAATTATGAGTTGATACTAGTGTCAAGACGACGATGAGAATGACATGCACACGTGGATAAATAGAGCGACCTACATATTGAAAAAGCATTCTAAGTTCCAACAAAAAAACAGTTTTCCGGGAAGTCTTAACGCAACAGACTATGTGATGTACCCTCATTCTTAAAAATGTCTTTGGTAAGAGAGACTGTCTTAAAGGTAAATAATTGGCTACAAATATGATCATGATAAAGTTGAAACTATAAAAGACCATCTATCAATACAGGTATTTTTGAATATATGAAAAATAAAGCGAGAACAATCATCATTCTTACCTTGCCAACTATTTCCCCAAGTAAATAGATAACCCTGAACCCAGGAAAATCCTAGTGAGTAATGCATTCCTTACCTCATGCTGAAACTATGAATGTTATGAAAGAATTTGCCTATGAGATTAACATTACACTTAACAAACTTTTTAATGCAGGGCTTGGTGTTCAAAAGTCTGAACCACCAATGTCAAAACGGCCAGTGTAGCCGTAAGCCTCACCGGGAAAATTTTTGAAATCTGATCAGTTTCAGGGACAATTTTAGCCCAAAGGTAATGGATATTAGAACATTCTAAGGATGGAGATACAATATTTCCAGCATCAAAAGTGTGATTATAAATACAGACGTGTACCAAACAGCCCTGGTCCAAGCATTACAAGGGGCCTGAAAATCTTCAACAGGGGCCCCAGGTTTCGTTTAAGGGGGCCATAACTCCTTGGTCCCCGATACTCCATGTGTACACAGCATGAAAGTACCATGGATATCATACAATATAGATGTATTATATTGTACAACAACAGCATTCTACTGTGTATCTACCAGTTGGGTACATTGAAATACGTATACAAAAGTTTGCTGAATGAAACATGCAATTATTGATACTGTACTTGTAATTTTATTGGTTTACACCCAAAAGTACAAATATCAATTATAATTTGTTTTGTGTATTTTAAGACAATTGGTTGTTTTTAGATCAAATATTTATTAGGATTACAGAACCTGTATATATACAGTATGTTTTTTTTAGGGGTGTTGAAATTTGAACCAAATTCAATAACCACCACTGCATCATTGAGTGTCCCAATGCACTTTAAGCCCTGCTTTAATGTTTCATTAACCTAAGGCATTTCTCGAGTTATGTAGAAAAAATAATTTTATACCCATACCGGAAATATTCACGATAACCAATTTGTGTCATATAAGCTGTTTCTAATAGGACACTGATAATATTTCAGAAGGAATTTTAGCAAGGGGGTTTTAAAGGATATACTGTACAGTACTGTATGACCAAATAACTTCTAAAATGTTAATGTCAAATTTTTAGATCCTTGTCGTGTATCATCATGTTGCTATCATGTCATTGACTGATTTTAGGAAAGCATTCGATCATGTGGACCACACTATCCGTCTTTCAGGATCGATTTGCTGGGGTATCGTCCATTATTACTCTCTTACATTGAAAAATTCCTCTCACATTTCTGCTATCCATGTACAGTACTGTCCAGTTTCCTTTAGCTACTCTGCACACCACTTCATTCAAATTGAGTAACTTAATAAACAATGATGAAGAATGATGGATGTCTGTGATGCAGCAGCATTTTGCAAATAGTACATGTACAGTAATTAGCACTGCTCCCAAAAAAGACCTCACATTACCAGTATGCCTATCATTGCTTACCAAGTTATTAGAAGTGCATATCATTACACCACTTGATTGGTGTAATTGTGTTAAACACATAAGCAATACAAAAGCTAAAACAATGTTTGTCACTTCATATTTTCACATAATACAGTACATCAGTTACATCCTATGGATGGTATTCCTCTAGTAACAGATTAAAGGCCAAATTCTTTAAGGGCTACATGCTAATATTCTTGTACCGTACTGTAGAGTACTGCACTATAATTGGATATGTGAGAACACATTAAACCAGATCACTGAAGGCTCGATGTTTCAAGGTTTCAAATTCAAATTTCTTCTTAAATGGAAGTGTGATAAGTCTTCTCACTAACCCATATCTTAAACTGTCACAGAGATGACACCCAAGTTTGGTTGAAAATTATGTCCTTTAGATACACAATCGCCCACAGTACAAAGGTGCCTGCCCATTGGTGTATATTTTAGATCTTCTCAGAACCTCTCTTTACTGCTTTCTTTTCTTATTCCCTAGTGTCTATGCACTCGTGATGATCCTCTTTTCACCAACATTAGGCTAATCTATAATATTCTGTAAGTAACCTTATTATGTTCTATCAAGTAATTCCACATTTAATGAATCTGTCGCTCCTTTTTCACACTTGCTCTTTCTGACTCCCCTAAATTTACTCCCCATAGTTCTCTTTACCAAACCTTTCCTTTACCTTTCAAAATTATTTTGTGGAAAACCAGGTCATCCAGGTTTCTTTCACTAATTACAATTACCATCACTAATTCTGTATCACACTGATTACATCTACACACATTCAAACACCCTGAATTTAGGTGTTGTTCCAGACTAGGGAGTGTCAGGATTTAAGCAGACATCCTGCTCCCATGTCCATAGTAAAAAATAAGTAAATAAATAAAAAATACAAATAATAATAATACAACTTTTAAAATGCATTGCACTCCAAGATTCAGTGCATTGCCAGTAGTATTTTGAAAGGGTTAAAGTTTGTGTTGACATTTCAGATGAACTTCCACAACATGGGAGAATAATATCTATGACAATAACAGTTTTTATGTTTACAAGGAACAATAAAACACTGATTTAAGCCATTTCAATTATTTCGTACCTCCTAATATATATCTATGGGCTACATGCTACACATAATTCTCTTTTACAACATATCAAGATTACAATTGTAACAATAAAACACATAATTACAGTGGGGTTAGATAATCACAGAAATACACAATTGCCTTTATAGGAGACTTGCTTTGTAATATATAAGAAAAATAAAAAAAATAATATGCAAGTCAATTTGCTCTTGTTTTAAAGCATAAAATTCTGTATTGAATGAAACTCAAAACATAGAAGTTGACCAAATCCTTTATTCTAACAAAAAGAAAATACAGCGCATTAGCAATGGTGATATAATAACTAACACCAGTTCAGGAACTGAATGTCTTTTCATTAGTTTACATTATGTTTAATATGGGATTTGAACAAGGGAAAAAGAAAGATAATGTAATATACAAATATGTATGAAATGAGGCAAATTTACAGATTGTACATAGTAAAAATAAGTCCCCTCACGTATGAGAAAGTTTTTCATATAAAATATATTTGTTCATTTTTTAGCATTTTCCTTCAACAAGTGTGTTTTTAATTAAATCATTTTTAAATACAGTACAGTATTAATAAGGATGTTTAGGTAAGTTTTAATTATCTCAATAGAGTTTATCCAAAGGCTAAATTCATTTAGGATGAGACTTGTGCTGTCAAGGACGTTTAGAATGTACCTACATAATTTATATGGGGTATTAAGAATTTAAAACTAGTACATTAAATCTGTGAACCAAATCAGTAATTTAACATCAATCAAATAAAAATTCCAAATATTTCAGAGAAGTTGTGAAGATGGTGGAGTGATGCTCTTCATTGTGGTTTCAAGTTCATTGGCAAGATTTGTAATCTTGATTCTCCCTTCAAACATATTCCCTAAAATTTACAAAAACATCAATTCATGAATCCATGCTGAAGTAAGTAATGTAAGATAACAGCCTTTTCTTAATTATTGCACTCACAGCTGTAAAGTTCTTTGGAATGTTTCAGGCTTATATACACTCTACTACCATTTTACTTTTTCATTCATTAATTTAAAAAAAGCAACATATAAATCTATTACTAAAAACTTTATATTTCTTTCTACAATGTATGACCTATTTTTCGAAGATTTTAATTTGCTTCCTCCTGTATGACTAACCTGAGAGAATAAAGTACTGTAATATTCTTGGAAATTAAAAATATGCAAATTATTTCTTAAAAATTTTCTTATAGAGGGTACAGGGAGATTATACAGTACAGTACAGTACAGGTTTGTATTCATGTGGTCCATTTGAACGTGATGTGGGAACTAAAAGTTTAATAAAAAATTGCATTAACACCTCTTTGGAAAGGACTTGATACTAAAAATGTATTATATTACACACAATTTTAATAAGTGATAAAAATATTAATACTACTAAGAAATACATCATGATCATATTAGGTACAGTCCAAAAGTCCTGAACTAATTAGTGGATGCAGCGAGTGATTCACACATTAAGGAAAATTACCATTACACAAATTTATATCCCTGTTGCAAATAAAAGCTGAGCACATATTCCTTCCAGTATTAAAAGCTACTTTCAGATATTTATTCACATGTGATACACACGCACACATGGCAATGCTCCAAAGCAATGCACTCAAAATATATTCTATTCTAGTGTCATTCTACTGCCTTCTTTAGCTTTGTAGTACATGTGCAAAAGTTGGTAGCCTCAAAATTATATATTTTTCAGCTGAAATGACTGCTTAAAAATAATTCAATCAAAAACTATAAACATTACTGCACTATCCTTATATATGCCATAATTTGTTCTGATTCATTCTTACAAAAGAGCAACGCAAGTCAAATATCAATAAAGTGAATATGATTCATTCTTGTCTACTGAATACTAATAAATCAATAACTGTTACCCAGACATACATGAGGCAGATTTTTATCACATTTGAGCCCTAAATTAATTATTTGTTAAAGATGACCAAGTACACTTGATACTGGGAAAGTGCTAAAACAAATATGGTTATGACATTTCTTCTCCATTTGTAATGTTCAACAGTGCTAAAGATATATAAATCAATTAATGTGAACTGTTGAAAAGATGACTGTTGCTGTAAAAACCAAAAAAGCTACAAAAGTTATATCTTATCAATCTTTTCTCCTCTCATGTCCTACACAAAAGTTGAAGCTGAATAATATATATATATATATATATATATATATATATATATATATATATATATATATATATATATATATATATATATATATATATATATATATATATATATATATATATATATATATATATATATTACATTTACAACCACACTGCTGTAGAAACATACATAAAAAATTAATATATTCTGGCCAAAATTATCTTAATATTGCAGTAAGTCTATTTGTCTAGCGATAATTTTTTTTTTTATATTTACGGATTATAACTTGCACATCAATGCTATATGAAAATATAATTAGAGGTTAAACCTTTATAGATAGGAACCTCTTTGTAAGTACATCAGCAAACTAAGAATTGGCACAAACATAAATGTTCAACTTGTGCATTACAATTCACCTTAAATCTGCATAGAAGAATTCATAAAAACATTACCATATAACCGTAAATGTTACGCTATTTACGTTCACTTTTATAAATATATATACTAAAAACATATATTGATAAACTCTCTGGTAATATTTTCATAATTTCCTCTATTTCAAAGACTGCCCTTGAAAATCCCCTAGGAATCAAAGTTGGAATGATACAAGTGAATCTTTGGTTTTGTAATTTTTTGTTATTCTCTCTCAATTTACTCCAATAAGTAGCCCACATAAAAGAACATGAACATTTATTTACAATTCCTTATAATTAAATCACTGGCATAAAAGGTCATGGAGAAAACTATATATTTCCAAAAGAAAAATCTCAGTATACGGTTTCAAACATAATACGTACAGTTATTTGTGACATTTTAATACTCCAGCAAATCTAGCTCTTGGATGGGTAAAACATATACTGTACTATGAAATGTAATTCATCATATTACACTGCATATGTCCATTCTGAAACCATTATCAGTACATGTGTTTACATGTATATTTTAGGGCCACAGGAAAATATGACTGGAGCCACATTTACAAACACATTTTCTGAAGTACCTAGACTTATTACACCATTTGAAAGATGAAATGAATCTTCATAACTCTCTCTTGTGTGCAGACTTCATCACTTTAAAATACTGTACTATACTGCATCTAAATTTTTCATCAAAGTACAGTAATTAAATAATAATTAGTGTGCATAGCTGCCTCACATATTCAGAGCTAAGTAGTGCATTCACCAATTTCAGGAAGCTATTTTGCACTTAAACATTTTCACAAATGCAAAGGCCTGGTTTCATTAAGATATATATTGAATGGTTCTGGTTTCTGTATTTGTGGCAACTGAATATGCTTCCATTTATTTTCCCAGGTGTAAGTTGCTCATTATAGGTACCGGGCCTCAATAAGTATTATCTCGGTGGATTTCTTAATCTGAACAAGAAAATCATTACTCTTAACTCACAGTTGCAAGAAAACTACAGTATCAATTATCATGCACAGAGTAATAAGTTTTCACTTGGTGTAAGTTAAATAAGTTAATCATTATATAGTTTCCCTTAACCTTCTACTGCTCCTCTTCATATGAATACCAAAATATTGTTGTGTGTAAATACATTTGTTTATTTGGATGAGTGTGTGTGTGTGTATGTGTGTGTGTGTGTGTGTGTGAAACAAAGATTTTTTTCTGGGTAGAAGTGTGGATATGAATAAGTGCAGAATTGTGTGTGTGCAGTATATGTGTGTTTCTGTGTAAATGTTTAAACAATTATTCTTTGGAAAAGCAGTCTATGCCATTACTTTTAGTTACTGATACGAACTGCTGGTCCTACATCCACATTATAAAAATGGCCAACTTGACAACACATCTATACATTACACTCATTACCAAATATAGTACAGTATTAACACGAATCGTATGCTTAAAATATATATTCTTAACAAAACAGACACTCTACCAAAAACAAAGATGTCAAAAAGTTCAATATAATTTCTGCTAAAGTTCATTTATCAACTATATTGCATGATAATTCTCAGCTTACCTGATCTACGTGGCAACCTTGTCTGTCTGGTGGAGAATATATTTTTTCATCATACCATGGAGCTTTATGAAAAATAGATCACTATGAGGTCCATATATATCTTTAGCTGTGTGGTAACTCCTGATCCTAACTATATGACAAAGTATTCTTGAATAATGAACTTTGAATATAAAATAGACCTGATGCCCCTAGTTAAACAGAGCTGTATTAGATATCTAGCTTATAAAATTAATCCATGGAGAAACCTAACCAAATCACAAGTTGAGGAATCCCTGCAGCATGTAAGCTAATATATGTAATGGGCAATATGCTAGACATCATCTTTCCTAGCTATATTCAGGACACTAGGCATTTCCATACACTCTGTACATGATACACTTATATCAGTAATATCCAGGATTACTAAGCATGACTTGATGTAGCAATATGCTTTCCAACAAGATAAACTGTAATCCAATATCTTCCCTGCTTCTGATCATAACTGTGCACTTGAGTAATCTGAATGTGACCATTCTAGAGCCTGTCTCTCCATACACTAGTCTCTCAATGGTTTCAGAAATATCAAGTTTTTTATCAAAAGTAATTTTTTATCCCACCTTCAAGAAGAATGTTACTGGGATTTAAAATGTAATAATGATGGTTCCAATATTATTAAAGGACAGATCCAGTGTGTTGTGTGCCAGACACATTGGTATAACAAAGCTTCAGTTTTAGCAAGCATACAGATGATAATTATGGGCAAGATAGCAGTGACATGAATGGGATTTACAAATATGAAGTTACATCCAAGTTATCAACAGTATATTATGATAATGCACCAGATTCTCAGTGATTCAAATAAGATGATTGATTGTATAATAAAATATGAGTTGCTTCTGTCATAATGTGTCATATAATGGCACACACAACCTAGCAGTTCAATAATGACTTTGTAATATGTGAATATGTTTGTAGAATTTAAAGTGTATTATGATATTTTATATTCATTGGCACCTAGTTCAACCATAACTTTTCTCAACCATACAGCAGGGTTATGCACATGAACAAGGCTAGTTTTTTTTTAAAACTTTTTAGAGACATCAGCTGAAAGGGTTAGTATATCAGTGTATAATTGTTAACTTAAGTATTTTTATTTCAGTTTATATTCATCTTACTGTGATATTGTTTTCACAACTTTTCACGTGAAGTACATTTCCCTTCGACTAAATAAGTTTTGGAAGAACAAGGTCCCAATGTACCTTTTTAAGATGATAAAAGAGAGTCTCGTCAGATAAGCATAAGAAAAATTATAACTTCAAGGTGTACACATTTGGTTCTGCATATATGTAGTAACTGCCATTGTTTCATTTCCAGTTCTTAATACACTTAACTGGAATGAACTGTACCCAAATTTTCTGTAAATGATCCTTTTCACAGTTACTTACTTGGAAATAATTATGAAATGCATTTCAAAAATTACCACATTATTTACAAGAAGAAAGTGATGCTTGTGAATATGGTCAGCAGTTTATTTATAGTTATCACAACAATACTCTTTACACTATTTTCATCAGTAACTAAGGATATACTTTATGATCATTAACTCAGGTTTTTTCAGAGCTCTTTGTTAAGTAAGTTTTAGCACCTGCTAATGATGTGGCTTATTAAAGTAACTTAAACAAAAATTAAACTTCAAATAAATTAACAAGAAAATAAAGTATGTACTCCACAATTTCTGTGAAAAAAGAAAATCCAGACTCATGGAAGCAGACTTAAAAAAATTCCATTAATGTGTATCCCAAGAGCTTTACTTTTCTTTGCACTGCTCCCTTTCAGTAATGAGCACCAATAAAACAATAAATACGTTTAAGATGAAATTAGGAAGGAACTCAGGCATTCTTAATAAAATCATTAACCAAAATCCATCAGAAATGTGGCAAACTATTAGTGTTCATATATTTGCACTACCTGGAAAAAATATACACTTGAATTTGCAGCTCTTGAATTTACTTCTTGAGGAGCTTGATAAGGAAAGCTAGCTTCTGCTGGATACCAGAGAAATGGTCATCTAACCAGCCTGAAACAAAAACACATGTATGAACTAGAAATTTAGGGGTATGTCAAATAATAAAATGAATACACTGTAATGTAATAATCATAGACATGGTACAGTACATTATATCATTGTAAGGGCGGAAACGATCTTCCTGCTCGTTACCGCTGCTAACTCTCTCGTTTGCTCGTGCGACCAACACTTGGGGGGTGGACAGAGGTGAGAACGGCAGCGGCTATCTGTGTCACCGGCAGATTCACCCCAGCCGCCATACAGTCACTATCTAGCTACCCCGCTGTTCGTCAAATTCTGGCTGTGATCTCATAATAGGTCCTGGACTCGTGGGCTGTTTTCCCAGACCTTCACCTGTTGACTGTCAATTCTCTGGACATCAACCACTACCGCTGCTCCTCTTCACCGTCTGTGCCCCGGTGTTTCGTCTGCTGTATCAAGACATCGGCCGCTGTCGCTCGAGTGAGGAGTTGAACGGACGCTTCCCCCTTAGAGTGGATCACTGTGTTCTGGAACCTTCCTCCAGGGCCACTGTCGTAGGAAATATCTGTTCATTGTTTGATTCTATTGTTTGATTCCTATAATTGCTGACTCCCATTAATTGTTTGCTTCCTTTATTTGTTTGACTCCATTAACTGTTTACTGCATTAATTGTTTGATTTCCGTAATTGTTACTTGATGTTTGTTGAGTGGTGTCAGAGTTTTGTGTTATATTTTTATAGTAAAGAGATGTCAATCTCAAACGGTTGTTTGTTATTCCTCAGAAAACCATGGTCCTTGACATTCCTTTATTAAGATCCTGATTAGTCTGGAAAGGGATTTATATCCCTAAGTCCCAGGCCCTTACAATCATCCTCTCCACTATTTACAGGTATCCCTTGCGACACGAAAAAATTAGTTTCCTGAAAAACATTAGATTAAGTGAGTGTTCATATAACGAATAAAAATAACATATGGGAAAATAGGGTTTGATTCCCCAATGACAAGAAATCCTCAAAAATTTTACCCCCAAAAACTCTACCTAACTAATGATACATACTGTACAACTACAGTTAACCCTCACTTCTGGCAGTTAATACAACCCACAGGGTACAGCGGAAAGTGAAAGCAACAAAGTGAACAACATAACATATGGGATTAATTGAAATAGAGGCCGGGCCGACCCCAAACTCCACTTTTGACGACACACAACTATGTTGTAATAAAAATAACTTCTTAATTTTATGATGGTATGCACACACAATTAATAATTAAGAGAAATATCAATAATATTAGGTTTTAACACTTACATTAGTAGAAAAGATGGCTGGGCACAGGGATGGGGGTTGGTTCGAGGCAGAGGCAGTGGCCCTCACCTGTATCACTTGTATCAATTGTATCACTATCACCACAGAGCAGGGCCTCTTTGTCAAACCCTCAAAGTCCATATAAGTCCATATCCTCACTATAATTATCACTATCACTGACTTGGGCGTGGTGGGTGGCGGAGTGAACTTCGTAATGTTTTGATGACTGGGCGACCTTGTGCACCTGGTCGTGCCGCTTATACAACATGGCCGGATGGCGGGAGGGTGGGAGATGGCGGAGGTTTGGATCAAAATGGTGGCACCGCCAACGCTCTCGTATAAAGGGGTACCACGCACCATGAATGTGAGCATCCGGGTTCGGCAGGGTACCCGGCATGAAGCAGCGGAATGTGGGACGCGTAAGTGAGGTTGACTGTACTGTAATTTACTACAGTAAACCTCGATAACTCAGCATTTGATAACCGAAATTTCATATAACTCGCATGGATACAGTCTCAGAATGTATTAGTGTATAACTCTCGGAAATGCAGATATAAAATTATCTGGGAAAATCTCGCATATCTGGCAACCTGCATTACCTACCATGCATCTGTGTCACCTACCATACCTCTGTGTCACCTACTATGATGGTTCATTCTTCACCTGCAGTGCTGATAAGTGTTACTTTTTTTACATTTAGCAACATGTACATATTAGATGATCCCTCAGTTAACGAATTACCTTCCATAAGAATCTTCAATTCGTTAATGAAATTTTACGAAATCATGTCAACATGTTTTCGCTTGCTCACCAGCTGAAATGTTACTGCCAATACAGTAATCGGTTCTAGGGCTTAAATTGCCCCATTTGAGTAAATATCAAGAAGGTTGTACTATTCAATAATTTTCCAAGTTTTATATTAAATTTTTTAGTCATTTTAACACTTATTTAACATAATTGCAGTGCACAGGAACTAGTTTTTGTGTGCCCAACAGCCACTTGACTCACCCAGCAAGGCATCAGTTTGTATCTCTGGTCAGTGGAGGTAACATCTTACATGTGGCTCTCTTAAACATAAACTATTTTTACGTTTTTATAGTACAATTATTGGTCATTCTGAAATTTATTTTACATATTGACAATATATAGTGTAGTGCAGTGTTGATTAAAGAAAATAATCTTGAATTACACCTAGTGAACTTAAAATTTTATGGGTGAAATGACTGCATGAAGCATGGGGTGATTTCTTTCCACCCCCACTTCCCTTCTCCTTTCCTCCACCCCCACTTAATTCCCATCATCATCATCATCATCAACCAGAGCCACATAATAACACCTCAAAGTAAGTGTACTTTACTGCATTTATTTTACTTTGTATGTAATTTCGGTGAGCTGGAACCAATTACCAAAATCCCATTGAAACAATGGTTTGGTTAACAAACGCACTTCTGAACCAATTGTGTTAGTTAACCGAGGACCACTGTCCACATATATGTCGATAATTTTTATTGTTGTATTTTCTTCGGGGAGGAAAGCTCGATAAGTCGAATTTGGAAACTTCACAAGGCCGAAAGCATTAGGTTTACTGTCCTAACACATAAAATACAATCCAGATGAAAATACAGTATACAGCTAAAAACTATTAAAGAAAAGATAAATTAAAGTTTAACACAGCCACCATTTGCAAAGAAACTAGCTGCATCAAGTGTGGCTACCCTCAAACCTCACCAGCAACCCAACCCGCTGGGGATGCACCCTATCTCCTGCTCTCATACATCAAAAAATATTTATTACCTTCATAGTTTTGACCAGTGACAGTTATTTCTTTTTATTTATTTATTTTTTTGCAAATTATGTATGTAGGATTGTATGCGCATGTAAAACAAAAAAAGACAAAAATTGAAAAATAACCATAACATAACTCAACTAGCTCATCCTGCTAACTTTCACTGGCACCAATTTTTTTTATTCCTCTATGTTTTGATCATATGATAATTATTATTATACAGGTACTTCAACTTACGACCACTCGATACGACCGCTGCAGTCGCCAAAATTTTTTCAAATCTGTATGTATTTTCATACCGAAACATTTCCGTCCCGGAGACCGTAGCGGGTCTGGGCACCAGGTGTGTACAGCATCCACCCCGAGTACGCTCAGTTGGTGTTTGGCTGTCGTTGTCGATGTAGTGATCGCACTATTACTGACAATAGTTTTGTTTCTAATTCCCTTTAAAATGACTGGCAAGCGTAAAAGGAGAGTTCTGGTGGTGCTCAGAAGAAAAGAGACACTCAATTACTTTTGAAATGAAAATGAAAATGAAAATGATAATGCAATATGAAATGGAAAAACAGTAGCAACCATTTCACGCACCGCTTCTCTCACCTCGAATGATATCAACAATTTTGAAGGACAAGGAACAAATTCATGAGAGTAGTGAAAGGATCAGCACCTATAAAGGAACAATAATAATGAAAAAAAAAGACAAGGTCCTATTCATGAGATGGAAAAATTACTTGTGGTGTGGATGGAAGATCAGCTACAAGCGTGTGCCCTTAGCTTTCTAACCATACAGGCTAAGGCAAGAAGCGTTTTAAAGCCTGAAGAGCAATCAGGAGATGAGTGCGACCAAAACTTCACAACAAGTCATGGGTGGTTCAAAGGTTTGAACCGTTACAGTTTATAGTGTAAAGGTGAGTGGAAGCAAGTGCTGATGTGGTTGCTGCGAAGCTTTTAAAGGACTAGATAGTGTCATCGTGGAGGAGGAAATTATTTGCCTGAGCAAATATTTAATGTGGATAGCTATTCTGGAGACGCAGCCAGAACGGACATCACAAAAGCGAAAACCATGCAGGAGTTCAGGACGAAACACACTTCTGTTGGGGGAATGTAGCTGGTTTCAAGGTAAAACCCTTCATGATATATCATCAAGAACCCAAGGTCTTTGAAAAATGTCAGCAAGCACACACTGCAGTGTTTAATCGCAGTAATAAGAAAGCATAGATGACCCTAACACTGTTTGAGGATTGGTTCCTGAGTTTTCATTCCAAGAGCCAAAAGAAGCTGCTTCAAGAATTTATTAATTTTAGATAATGCTCCGGGACACCCACCACACCTGGACGACCTGCACCCTGATGTTAAGGTGTACCTTCCATCTAACACTACCTCTATCATCAAACACATGGATCAAGATGCACTTGCTGCCTTTTAAAGCGTATAATTCGTACGACCTTCGCCAGCTGTTGCTACTGAAGGTGAGAAAAAGCTCAGAGAGTTTGGAAGGATACAACATTTTGAAATGTATAATGAACATAGCTGCAGCATGGGGACAGCTCAGTGCATGAATGGAATATGGAAGAAGGTCCTGAAAATATATGTGAACAGTTTCAAAGGATTAATAAAGATGAAGCAATTTCTGAGATTAATAACCAGATGGTGGAGTTGGGTAAACAGCTGGACTTAGAATTGATAATGAAGATGTTGAGCAGTTGGTTGAAAGTGTAGCAGAAGAGCTAAGTGAGGATCTTATTGAACTGGATGCACGAAAATTCAGAGGAAGAAGAAAGACAAAATGTAGAAGAAAGAACCTGCACCCCCAAAAATTTTTTTCAGTGAAACAAATACAGAGGCATTTGCTCCCTATTAATGAGGATGCAAATGTTTGCGAAATGGATCAAAATGTTGAGTGTTTTTGCAAAAGTTGACAGAATGATCCAAGCTGCACT